ACTGCTTCACGTGGGACGTGGAGAGCTATAAAAGAAAAGACAGAAGAAAGGAGAAAAAAAAGGAAGCCTCCTCCCACAATCCATTGAATGCGCCCATTTACTATGCGTGTAGGTTGAGAGATCAGGGACTCTTCATGTACGGTGAGCTCTGCCTGCATTGAAGTCAGCGAGGCGAGCGAATCCGGAGGAGAACCCACGCTCACCGACGCTCCAGTCCTTGTGACCTTTCCCCATATAAATCTTGCCATAATTCGTGTATATTTATTGGATTCCAAGTCGATCGATATATTTCATGTTTCTTCCACCATCGTGGTATCCATATCTGCGAGATCCAGTCCGGTGTGAGGGAAAAGGTAAGTCGAGGTGGATGACAGCGTGCCGAGAACCAAACGAGCAACAAAAAGATCGCAGGGTTTGAGAGAAGGATGAAACCCCATAACGTCGACGCGTGCTGTGGGTTGGAGAGCTCGGACTTGTTGGACCTCCCCCCACCCTCCCGCGCGGCGGCATCCTGTTTTCCATATGATCTCGACGGGAAGGATCAGTGTATCGGAGTAGGATCTGCATAAAGTCGGTTCCACCCCCCCCACCGAACTCGTGCGTCCCCTCTGATCCAGTTAAAGTTTCTCCCTTGCTCTTTTAATGGCCATCCAAGCGCCGGTTCCGTTCATCCGCAACAGGAACAGTTTGGACGCGATGGACGACGGCGAAGGATTGCCTGTTGACCTCTGTCAATATTTTCAGCAGCAACAGATGGTCACGGTTCCTTGGGTTCTTTGTCCTCCGCCTCCTCCCCCTCCGGGGATGTCGATGATAGGAGGCTTTCCTTTGCCTTCCTCGTCGAGTTCAGTTTCTAGTGCTACGATGGATCTCTCTGATCAACTCATACTAGGCATTATGGAGGAACAGAGGACTGAGACGGATCAAATTCTCAGGCAACAGGTAGCTTCGAATTCCTTCTAAAAGAGAGCAATGGTAGAACATGCTATCGCTTAAGATCGAGGCTTCTAATTTAAGGTTGATATCCTTTGATTCTGGAACAGAGTAATCTGTTGGCTGCGGGGCTTCGGCAACAGACGAATCGGCATACGGCCACTATCATACGGAGTCTCGAGTCCAAAGCTTCCTCCCTTTTGAGACAACGGGAAGAAGTGTTGACGAAGGCGAACATGATGAATCGGGAACTGGAGTTGCGCCTGAAGAGCGCGGAGGAGGAGAGGACAAAGTGGCAAGGGATGGCCATGGCAAACGAGGCCATGGCTATTTCTCTTAGCAACGCT